CCACTGAAGGGCAGCTCGGCGGCGGCAGCTGCGGCGGCAGTGGCGGCTGCTGTGGAAACTGTGGCAGTTGCTCCTGCCCTCCTGGTGGAGCCTCAGCCGCCTCCTCAGCCTCCACCCATAAGGAAGGCAAAAACTAAGGAAGGAAAAGGTGAGGTGTGGGAGGTCATTGTGATTGGATGTTATTAAATATTCCCTTTCCTTTTCAGTCTGCAGCCGCTGTCATTTTCTGTGAAATTCAATATGGCCACCTGGAGGCCTCTCTTCTGTATGTCAGGCTGTCCGGTCTCTGACCATCTCTTGTATCATGTCTACAGTCTCTGACCATCTCCTGTAGTATGTCTGCAGTCTCTGACCATCTCCTGTAGTATGTCTTCAGTCTCTGACCATCTCCTGTAGTATGTCTTCAGTCTCAGACCATCTCTTGTATCACGTCTTCAGTCTCTGACCATCTCTTGTAGTATGTCAGGCTGTCTGGGAACAGAACAGATTTTAGTTGATTCTTCTGAATGATTGGCATGTAGATGGCTGTGTTGCTCGAAAATGCCGTTGCAGTAGGTTGGCTGTTTTTTAGTTTTTTTTGTATATTGCAGGTAGTTTTTACCCCTTACCAAGGGCCTTGCAGAGTCTGGGTGGAAAGGGGTCACATGTAGCCCTTTGCACTTTTTGTGCGGCCCTCGAGGGCCCCTGCACACACTAACCTGTGCTTCCCTATTGCTTTGTTATAGTTGTGATTTCTAGCAGTCTCATGTAATATGTCTACAGTCTAGGACTGTCTGTTGAAGCATGTCCCCAGCCTCCAACAACTCTTATATAATGTTCACAGCCTCCTGCAGCATGTCTGCAGTCTCTGACCATCTCTTGTATCATGTCTGCAGTCTCTGACCATCTCTTGTATCATGTCTGCAGTCTCTGACCATCTCTTGTATCATGTCTGCAGTCTCTGACCATCTCTTGTATCAGGTCTGCAGTCTCTGACCATCTCTTGTATCATGTCTGCAGTCTCTGACCATCTCTTGTATCATGTCTGCAGTCTCTGACCATCTCTTGTATCATGTCTGCAGTCTCTGACCATCTCTTGTATCATGTCTGCAGTCTCTGACCATCTCTTGTATCATGTCTGCAGTCTCTGACCATCTCTTATATCATGTCTGCAGTCTCTGACCATCTCTTGTATCATGTCTGCAGTCTCTGACCATCTCTTGTATCATGTCTGCAGTCTCTGACCATCTCTTATATCATGTCTGCAGTCTCTGACCATCTCTTGTATCATGTCTGCAGTCTCTGACCATCTCTTGTATCATGCCCATAGTCACTGACTGTATCCTGCTGTATGTCTGCTGATAATAAATATTCACTGAATTGCATGTTTGGCCCTTTGGTGATATTGATGCATCACGTGGGCCCCCCATATCAAGAAAAAGGACCACCACTGAGCCTAGGGAGTATTGTTTGTTTTTTAATACCCAAGCTTTTTGTAATTGTGTAAACAGGTGAAACTCGAAAAATTAGAATATCGTGCAAAAGTTAATTTATTTCAGTAATGCAACTTAAAAGGTGAAACTAATATATGAGACTCATTACATCATCATTGTGATGATTATTATTATTATTATACAGTATTTATAAAGCGCCGATAGTTCGCTCAGCGCTGTACATTACAAAGGGGGACAGAACATGTGACAGAACAATACCAATACAATGCAAAACATGAGGGGATCGAGGGCCCTGCTCTTTCGAGCTTACAATCTAGGAGGGAGGGGATGGTGGCACAGGAGGAGATAGCTGTGGGGGATGGAGTGGTAGGAAGAGTGGAGGAGGTCGGCAAGTTAGCAGGGGGTGGGGTAGGCTTCCTTGAAGAGGTGGGTTTTCAGGGTGCGCCTAAAGGAGAGGAGAGTAGGTGATAATCTGATGGGTTGGGGCAGGGAGTTCCAGAGGATGGGTGACACCCTGGAGAAGTCCTGGAGGCGGGCGTGGGAGGAGGAGACCAGGGAACTAGAGAGGAGGAGGTCTTGTGAGGAGCAGAGTGTGCGTGCTGGGCGGTACTTGGATATTAGGTCAGTGATGTAGTTCGGGGCAGTATGGTGGACGTCTTTGTACGTCAGTGTTTATGGCTTACAGCTCATGAAAACCCCCAAATCCACAATCTCAGAAAATGAGAATATTGTGAAAAGGTGGAATAATCTCGGCTCAAAGTGTCCCACTCTAATCAGCTCATTCAGCCATAACACCTGCAAAGGGTTCCTGAGCCTTTAAATGGTCTCTCAGTCTGGTTCAGTAGGAATCACAATCATGGGAAAGACTGCTGACCTGACACCATCACTGACACCCTCCATAAGGAGGGAAAGCCTCAGAAGGGAATTGCAAAAGAAGTTGGATGTTCCCAAAGTGCTGTATCAAAGCACATTAATAGAAAGTTACGTGGAAGGGAAAAGTGTGGAAGAAAAAGGTGGACAAGCAGCAGGGATGACCGCAGCCTGGAGAGGATTGTCAGGAAAAGGCCATTCAAAAGTGTTGGGGACTTTCACAAGGAGTGGACTGAGGCTGGAGTCAGTGCATCAAGAGCCACCACACACAGACGGATCCTGGACATGGCATTCAAATGTCGTATTCCTCTTGTCAAGCCGCTCCTGAACAATACTCAACGTCAGAACGATCTTACCTGGGCTAAAGAAAAACAGACCTGGTCTGTTGCTCAGTGGTCCAAAGTCCTCTTTTCTGATGAGAGCAACTTTTGCATCTCATTTGGAAACCAAGGGCCCCGAGTATGGAGGATGAATGGAGAGGCACAAGGACCCCGAGTATGGAGGAAGAATGGAGAGGCCCAAGGACCCCGAGTATGGAGGAAGAATGGAGAGGCCCAAGGACCCCGAGTATGGAGGAAGAATGGAGAGGCCCAAGGACCCCGAGTATGGAGGAAGAATGGAGAGGCCCAAGGACCCCGAGTATGGAGGAAGAATGGAGAGGCACAAGGACCCCGAGTATGGAGGAAGAATGGAGAAGCCCAAGGACCCCGAGTATGGAGGAAGAATGGAGAGGCCCAAGGACCCCGAGTATGGAGGAAGAATGGAGAGGCCCAAGGACCCCGAGTATGGAGGAAGAATGGAGAAGCCCAAGGACCCCGAGTATGGAGGAAGAATGGAGAGGCCCAAGGACCCCGAGTATGGAGGAAGAATGGAGAGGCCCAAGGACCCCGAGTATGGAGGAAGAATGGAGAGGCCCAAGGACCCCGAGTATGGAGGAAGAATGGAGAGGCCCAAGGACCCCGAGTATGGAGGAAGAATGGAGAGGCACAAGGGCCCCGAGTATGGAGGAAGAATGGAGAGGCCCAAGGACCCCGAGTATGGAGGAAGAATGGAGAGGCCCAAGGACCCCGAGTATGGAGGAAGAATGGAGAGGCACACACTGCAAGATGCTTGAAGTCCAGTGTGAAGTTTCCACAGTCTGTGTTGATTTGGGGAGCCATGTCATCTGCTGGTGTTGGCCCACTGTGCTTCATTAAGTCCAGGGTCAACGCAGCCGTCTACCAGGAGATTTTGGAGCACTTCATGCTTCCTTCCACAGACCAGCTTTATGGGGATGCTGACTTCATTTTCCAGCAGGACTTGGCTCCGCCCACACTGCCAAAAGCACCAAAACCTAGTTCAATGACCGTGGGATTACTGTGCTTGATTGGCCAGCAAACTCGCCTGAGCTGAACCCCATAGAGAATCTATGGGGCATTGCCAAGAGAAAGATGAGAGACATGAGACCGAACAATGCAGAAGAGCTGAAGGCCGCTATTGAAGCATCCTGGTCTTCCATAACACCTCAGCAGTGCCACAGGCTGATAGCTTCCATGCCACACCGCATTGATGCAGTAATTGCTGCAAAAGGGGCCCAAACCAAGTACTGAGTACATATGCAGCTTCTACTTTTCAGAGGTGCGATATTGTTCTATGTACAATCCGTGTTTTATTGATTGCATGGAATATTCTCATTTTCTGAGATTGTGGATTTGGGGTTTTCATGAGCTGTAAGCCATAATCATCACAATGATGACAAATCACGGCTGGAACTATCTTGCTTTGCATGGAATGAGTCTCATATATTAGTGTCACCTTTTAAGTTGCTGCACTGAAATCAATGAACTTTTGCACCATATTCTCATTTTTCGAGTTTCTCCTGTATAAACGTCTGCTAATCGCTGTGCTGGAGTGTTTCTTCTCTTTGTGCAGTGATTGTATCGGGTTGTTTCCACTCGTTGCTGGTATGTCAGGTCATATGGTAAAAATGGGTGCAAAGGTGTGACTCCGGTTATCGTTCTGTATTATATTCTTGTCTATTATTGTCTCCGGGACTCTGAAAATAACTGCAGCACTGAACACTATAGTGGCTGCCCAAAGCCAGTCTGGTTGAAGTCCGGTTCCTCGGAACTTTGGTAACGGTTTTTTTTGATCCAAACTTTGTTGAACAGCCTTTTCCTTTTATATCTATTAGATCTGTTTGTTGTTGTTGCTATGATCACTATTGCATTCCTGTTTTATGTGTAATATGGTGACCATTTTTCTTTTTTAGGCCCGGGTGTCAGAAAAAAATCAAAATCCAAAGATGCAAAAAAGAAGGGCAAAGGCAAGAAGATTGCAACTCTCAAGTTTAAATTTGGAGGGATGGCCAGCAAGCGAAAAAAAAACATGGGATCTTCGGTAAGAGAAACCGAGAAACGTCACGTATATCGGTCAGTAGTCGGCGGTCAGGACCTGCGTAGTTGGGCTTTTGGGCTCCTATTTTGTGTTTCGCATCAGTTTGCCATTAGTCTTGAGACATTTCTGAAATTATTCAGAATTTATTGACCTTTGACCTGCAGTTGACATCCTTCTGACCTACTTCAAGCGGAGTTCCACCCAAAAGGGGAAGTTCTGCTTTCAAGATTGGTCCCCCGCTCCCCGATAAGGATTGGCACCTTTGGGGAGAGGATACCCGAAATTGACAGGCACCCACTCCCACTACCACTGCCTAGGTCAGGGGTAGGCAACCTGTGGCTCTCTAGCTGTTGTGGAACTACATTTCCCATGAGGCATTGCAAAGATTACAAAATTGACAGTTACAGCTATGACTTGCAGAGGCATGATGGAACTTGTAGTCCTGTGGCTCTCAGGTTGCCTACCCCTAGTCCAGGTTGCCTACCCCTGGTTCAGGTTGCCTACCCCTGGCTTAGGCAATCGGAAGCGGAAGTTGTCCTACCCTCCCTCCCCATAGTCTTCTGGGACACGTGACAGGTCCATGAAGATGACGGGGCCATTCAGGAAGCGCAGCACTACTCGCGCATGCGCAGTGGGCACCCGGCTGTGAAGCCGCAGGGTGTCACAGCCGGGTGCCCACACTGAAGATGCTGGCGGCTGGAATACAGGACTGCCGGTGAAACGGGCTGCGTCGGGGGAAACACCACGGGATCGTGGGACAGGTAAGTGGCTGTTTTTTAAAATTCAGCAGCTACAGTTTTTGTAGCTGCTGACTTTTTTTTATTTTAGTGTGAGTGGAACTCCGCTTTCAGGTGGGTTTTACATCCCTATAGACTTGTATGGGAATACAGAACCTGTGTGAGATGAACAAAAGCCCATTAGCACAGACCCCCCCCCCCCCCCCAACCTGAACACGTTCAGTTTTTGCAATAGTTATTTTCATTGTAGGTAGCCATAGGGGGAGATTTGTTCAAACTGCAGCACACAGAATAGAAACCAATCAGCTTCCAGGTTTTATTGTCAAATCATCATTGAACAAGTTTAACCCCTTGGAGCCGGAGCCTCCTGGCCCTTTAAGAGTTTCAGAAGCCGGATGCAGGGCAGGGTTTTAGGGTCATGTGACTGCCGTGAGTCGCCATCACTGATGATCGGAAAAGGTCCCGATCGAAAGGGGAGATCGGGACCTTTCCGGGAGTCGCGGACATATGTGCTGGGAGTTCGCAGGGCGCGCGCTCTGGGCACATATGTATTTTCTAATTGCACGCAAATATGCAATCGCTCGGCGTCAAGGTCCAGATGCCAAGAGGCTGCATATTTGCATGCAATCGGCGTCAAGGGGTTAAAGTATAACTAAAGGCAACTTTATTTTTTTTAAATTTAGACATAGTGGAGGTGGATTAGACCCCCTGCCAGTTTGTTTTGCTGTCTGTGCCCCCAGTAGGGAGATTCCCCCCCATCACTGACTCCTTATGCACACTATGGGGGCATTTTGACAACTCTGGTAACGTTAGCTGCATAAAGACACATTAAAAAAGCTTTTTTTAGCGTTTTTTGCGTTTTTGCATTAACGTTTAGTGGCGTTGTCCCGCGTTTAGCAGCATTTTCCTGCATTTTGCAGTGCTTTGTGTTTTTTTAGCATTTTTTTAGCAGAAAAAAATTTTTTTATGACCAAAAAAAGTCCAAAAACGCCGGTCTGTGCGGCGGGCTAATTTTATGTTTATTGCATTTTTCAGCGTTAGAGAGCGTTTTCACAGCTAAGAAACTCCTCTAGAAACCCACTAGCCCCAGGGTTTTTTCTCCAGCGAAAAAAAACAACACCCTTGCCAAAAAACGTTGATTCCAGTCTGTGTGTGTATGGACCCTAGGAGACCATGCTGGAGGAGTATACTAGCTAAAAGAAAAAACCATCAAAAGCCCAAAAACAGCTGCTGCAAAAATGTCCCGTGTGTATGATGGACTGAAAGTGAAAGCAAAAGAAAATCACAAATTTCAGGTTGTCCCCAGAAAAGTAATAGAGGGGAAATCTTCCAATGGGGTCACTAATTCAGGTGACCCGGGGGTCCCCAAGAAATTTTCCTTAATTTGCAGGGACTTCCTCTCACTTCCTGTTTGGCTGTGAGACAGGAAGTGAAGGGAAATCTATGCAATGGGACACGGTGAAAAAAAAATTAACATGGGGTTATAACCCTCCCTGAAAGTGAAAGTGAAAGCAAAAGAAAATCACACATTTTGGGATGTCCCCATAAAAGTTATTAGAGGAGAAATCTTCCAGTGGGGACACTAGTTCAGCTGACCCTGGGGGGTCCCCAAGGAATTTTCCTTAATTTACAGGGACTTCCTCTCACTTCCTGTTTGGCTTTGAGACAGGAAGTGAAGGGAAAATCTCCACAATGGGACACGGTGAAAAAAAGGAACATGGGGTTATAACCCTCCCTTGCCCTATCCAAAGTGAAAAAAAAAAAAAACGTTATAGTTGTACTTAACTCCCTGGCGCTGAGCACACGCAAAATGTGGGGTCCGCGTATTTGTGAACCCAATATAAACCAATAGATGTGCTCCCGGCAGATTTACCGCCTCACAGAAAGGTCCCAATTCCTACTTGCAGTCGGAAGCTTTCCGATCATGTGACCGCCAATGGCCCTAAACCCCCCCCCCCTGCCTCCCGGTGTCCCAAACCATGTTTAAAGGGCCGGCGACAAGAGGTTAAGTTAGAAGCTCACCCTGCACCAGCTTTAGTAAATCTCCCCATAATGTCTCTTCACTAAGACTATATACAAGTAGAACTAAACTGTATTTGAGCACCACAAACTGAAAACACTTCTTATTCATTTTTTAATATTCAAAGCAAACTCTCCCTCATCCATCCATCCATGTCTCCATCCACCCTTCATCCATGTCCCCCATCTATCCATTCATCCATGTCTTTATCCATACATCCTCCCCCCCCCCCCCCCCCATCCGATGTCTATTCAACCATGTCTCCATCCATCCATGTCCCCATGTCCTCTAACCATCCATCTATCCATTCCCATCTATCCATGTCTCTCTCCATACATCCATCCCCCCCCCCCTCCATCCCATGTCTCTATCCATACCATCTATTTCTCCAGCAAACACTCTTCCATTATCCAATTCATCCATGTCTTTATCCATACTTCTTTCCCACCCCCCCCCATGCTCCTATGTTTTCCATCCATCTGTCTTCATCCATGTCTCATCCATGTCCATCTATCCATTCATTCCATGTCTTTATCCATACATCCATCCCCCCCCTCCATCCATGTCTCCATCCATCCATCCATCCATGTCTCCATCCACCCTTCCATCCATGTCTCCATCTATCCAATGTCTCTATCCATGTCATTTATCCATCTTATGTCATCCATCCATGTCTCCATCCCCCTTCCATCCCATGTCCCCAACTATCCAATCCATGTCTTTATCCATACATCCATCCCCCCCCCCATCCCCCCATGTCTCCATCTATCCATCTATGTCTTCATCCATGTCTCCCATCCATGTTCCATCTATCCATGTCTCTATCCATACATCCATCCCCCCCCCTCCATCCATGTCTCTATCCAATCCATCTATGTCTCCATCCACCCTTCCATCCATGTCCCCATCTATCCATTCTCATCCATGTCTTTTATCCATACATCCATCCCCCCCTCCATCCATGTCTCCATCCATCCATGTCTCCATCCCACCCTTCCATCCATGTTCCCCATGTATCCATTCATCCATGTCTCCATCCATCCATCTATGTCTTCATCCATGTTTCCATCCACCTTTCCATCCATGTCTCCATCTATCCATACATCCATCCCCCCCCCCCCCCCCTCCATCCATATGTCTCCATCCATGTCTCCATCCCACCCTTCCATCCATGTCTCCATCTATCCAATCATCCATGTCTTTATCCATACATCCATTCCCCCCCTCCATCCATGTCTCTATCCATCCATCCATCCATCCATGTCTCCATCCATGTCCCATCTATCCATTCATCCATGTCTCTTTATCCATACATACATCCATCCCCCCCTCCTCCATCCATGTCTCCATCCATCCATCTATGTCTGCATCCATATCTCCATCCACCCTTCCATCCATGTCTCCATCTATCCAATCATCCATGTCTTATCCATACATCCATTCCCCCCCTCCATCCATGTCTCTATCCATCCATCCATCCATGTCTCCATCCATGTCCCCCCCATCTATCCATTCATCCATGTCTTTATCATACATACATCCCATCCCCCCCCCTCCTCCATCCATGTCTCCATCCATGTCCCCATCTATCCATTCATCCATGTCTTTATCCATACATACATCCATCCCCCCTCCTCCATCCATGTCTCCATCCATCCATCTATGTCTGCATCCATATCTCCATCCACCCTCCATCCATGTCTCCGTTCTATCCAATCAATCCATATCTCTATCCATACATCCATCCCCCCCTCCATCCATGTCTCCATCCATCCATTCTATGTCTCCATCCATGTCTCTATCCTACCTTCCATCCATGTCTCCATCTATCCATGCCTCTATCCATACATCACCCCCCCCCCTCCTCCATCCATGTATCCATCCATGTCTCCATCTATCCATATCTCTATCCATACATCCACCCCTCCCCCCCTCCATCCATGTCTCCATCCACCCTTTCTATCCATGTCTCCATCTATCCATTCATCCATGTCTCTACTCTATCCATACATCCATTCCCACCCCATCCATCCATCCATGTCTCCATATGCTTCATTTTGCTGAGAAATCACTTTGAAAAACACCCTTCTAGCATTCCTGACTGCGGCCATCTTGTAGTAAGGGCAGATAAATCATGTATCATTGACTTCCTGCACTTCACCTATCCTTAGCTCAGGCATGCAGGCAGGAGGGTGTGCTTGGCTGAGAAAAGCCCCTCCTGAGACATCATTTCAGCCTAGGCTAGAAACCAGGAAGAAAATATATAAAAAAGAAAAAGTGTAAACCAAGTAAATATAATCTACCTTCCTATGGATTTTATTAATGCTGGCAGCATAAGGATCACAAACAGTCAATGTTGTTTTGAGTGAGAGAGTTTAGTACATTTTTCCCACAGCAGTCGGGCTTTCTTTTTTTTTTTTCATACAAAATGAAAATGAAATATCTGGCTTCTATAGGAGGAGGCATAGCCAATCACAAACCTTGCCACCCCAGATCTCAAATGTGTCAGATTTGGCTTTTTTTTTTTCTCCATATTTTTTTTTTTTTGTGTCATTCCAATACAAACAAAAGAAATGACATGAGAATGCCGAAACATTTGTCATTGCAGCAATTTTGTGGGCGAAGCGGTGCGTTATCATAGAATGTCGGGATGTTTGGCCATGACTACACATATATTTATTTTATCTATTTTTTTTTATTTTTGATTCCTTTATATCCAGAGTGATGAAGACGAGAGGGAGGAGTCAGATTTTGATAGTGCCAGTATTAACAGTTCCTCCATCCGATCGGATCTGTCTGGGCTCGGAAAAAGAGAGAAAACGTGGGAAGAAAAAAAAAGCGAGGTAAGCCTTTTCTTTTTTTTTTTTTCTAGTGACCCTTAAAATTAAAAATATAAGTAAGTATATTGGTTCACC